GGAAATGAAATTGTCTACTCATACTTAATGTTCAGAAACAAATGGTGGCATACAGTCACCTGCCACAACACAGAGAGGTTGCTGTTCTCACAGGGCATCTGGCTGTGACCTGACAAAGAGTGATAGGGACCAATAGGGAGTCTGCAAACAAAAGATTTGATTTGTAAAATCATGATGACCTGAGCTCACTCGACCTGTACTGAGTGGACCATCTTATTAGAGTTCAGGAGCCTATGCTGTACTGCTAACTGATTTTCATTTGAGCATGGAGCTGAAATCATAGAGTAGCTGACGTTGAAAGGCACCTCTGGAGACCACGTAGTCCAACTCTCCTCAAGCAGGGCCAGCTACAGCAGTTGCCCTGGCCTGTATTCAGCTAGGGTTTTAATATCTCTTCTGCAAGGGTCTGTTGCCAGCTCATCCAACTTAGTGACATCCAGGACCCTTGGGTCCTACTCTCCAAAGCTGCATTCCAACCAGTCAGTCCCCAGCCTACTGTAATGCATGGGGTCACTCTTCCCCATGTACAGGACTTTGCCTTTGCTTTTGTTGAACATCTTGGTGTTCCTGACGGTCTATTTCTCCAGGCTCTTCAAGTGGCAGCCTAACCATTAAGTGCATGGTCTCCTCTCTCTGCTCCTGATTCTTTTGCAAGCTTCTTGAGATTGCCACCACTTCCTCACTCAGTTGTGGGCTGCCTTCTTCCTCCCCTGTTATTCCTTTTTAAAGCTCTCCTCCCTAGGTTGGTCAACCTGTTCGCAAAGACGTTTTTGCCTCATGTAGTCACACTTGATACCTTTCAGGTCTCTGCTGGCTGTACTGCTGGTTCTCACATGGATGAGCAGCAGGGGTGAAATTCTGAAAGCTGGATAAGCCTTTACAGTTTCGCTGCGGCGCTCCAGAGCTGAGCGCCCAGCAAGCAGCCTTGTGTGGAGTCACAGCTATCCTGGGATAGGCAAAAGCAGTGCTGTGGTTGACGACTTCAAAAGTCAGTGCAGTAGCCATAATGGTTTTGGTGGTGGTGACTAAGGAAAACTAAGTTAAACCTTATAATTAATTTTAAAGTTTTTGGTTTTATTTTCATTTTTGTTTTCTTTAATTGCAGAGAAACTAGCACAGGTGATAGAAGCAAAGGTATCTCTTGGTTTTCTATCAGACTCCTGGCACCAACCAATTTCAGTAGCTGCAGAATGCTTCATATCCTCAAGGCCAGATGCCTTTAAGTATCAATAGCTAATTCCCAGCAAAACAGTAGAAAATCAGAGCCAAACAAAACCCAGTAACATCGTGAATCATAAAAGAATCAGAACAGGTATGGATTTCTAGGGATCAGGTAAGTAATACCTTTGATGGCTGCGAACATTTTCTCAATTTAGAATATTTTTTCCATAATACAATGTATTATTTTTCCATAATACATTCAGAGTCATTTGCCAGCTTGCCATTTGCCACCAAACTTTATACACACACACTTAGAACATCGACTCATTTGGCTTGTCTGGAACCGATAGTTCACTACATCAGCAGGTTCTGAATATACTGCATCTTCTCTGCCTTCCTAGAAAAAAACAGCAACAGCCTGAGCATGCCAACAGACCATTGATCTGAGGAAATACACTAAAAGATGCCTTTGATTAGCCTAGTACTTTGGGACATGTATTTTAACCAAGCACAGATTACAGCCTGCAGAAGAAGTTTTGAAAACTGACAGTAAAACCAGGAGGCTGAAAATCAGAGGAAACAGAGAGGCTCTGGGACTTCACAGAGAACAGCCACTGGAAATAAAGCAGTGTCCAACAATAAAGACAAGAAACAGAAGAAATGCTGGATGAACAAGAACTACTGTACAGAGCAAACCACAGTGTTCTAGAAAACTGAGATTAATGCCCCAGGCTAATGCAAGTACAAGGTATAAAGCAAGTTATCAGATGCAAAAATTGCAAAGGCAATTGTAGAGTATTTAACAGCATAGATATTTTCTAAAAAAAAAATAAAAAAAAATCATCAAGCAGCCAAAGGACACAAAATTAAAATTACACAAAGTAAAAGCAGAAAAAACTGCTTTCAAATACTTTTTCTGATTGACATAAGTTTTGAGTGATGGAAAACATTACATGAGGGGTATAACATAGGATATATTTGTTTTACACATGTATATTTGCAAAACAAACACGAGATTTTTATCTTTGCTTAAAAATCCATTGTGCTGATGATTGAGTCCAAGGCACCTACCCCCGTGATCCTGTAACAAATGATGATAGCAGTTAATATCTCAGCTGCGCTGATGGTGTCATTACTACTGGCATGAAGTCTCCAAGGTCTTTATGCATTCCTACAATACTTACATTCCTTTATAATCTTCAAGTACAGGTTTTAGACTGCATCATCTGCCAAAATCAGGCTCCTTATAGATCTCCTCATATACACTCTACATATTAATGAGCCATCTGACTCAAAGGTAAAGTGGTATCTTTTAAGAAGATTTAATGTGAGTGGAGATGCATCAGTATTTCTCACTGTCAGTCTGCAAAGAACTGAGTGTTGATATCCAGGACATAAACAAGATGCAAACTGGCTTTTGCTTACAGCAAAAAGCTAAACCTGTGCAGCTCATTTTAAGAATGCAAAGCACATTTAAAGTGCACCGAGTACTTTAAAAAAAAAGATGAAAGAGATAATTTTCTAAGGGCATGTTACACAAATTTAGTCTCGAGTAATGCTATATGTCAGAGACAGCCATGCTTTTGCAGCTGAATTTCAATGCTGCCTTTTCTTTCTTCTGTCTCACCCTACCAGGGGCCATTATCCTTTGAAAACTACTTTTCTCCTATGGATTGCTGCTGCTACCTTGTCACACCCCCTCCTGCCTCCATCTGCCACTGCCTCCTCATAGGCCATCACTTCTTGCTGGCTCCAGCCTGGGAAAGAAAAAAAAAAAAGCCAAAGCAGCTCTACTTTACACCTTACCTCTAATATTGCCATACCTCTTCAGACAGAAACAGGCATACATGTACATCTAAAACAGTGCCTCTAAATAAAAGGAGTCAAACACACTTCAAGATTACTATGCCGACACAGATGAAGGAAGGTGAAAAAGCAAGATTTCCTTACGGTTCTCCTGCAGCTCCCAGATGCCACGGTAGGGAAAAAAAGGCTTTGCAATTTTCAATAGCCCTCTGTCACAGCTGGCACCCTGCCAGCCTGTGCCAGACACTGGCTGCTGAGCCCACTGGGGACGCTGTGCTGGAGCAGAAAGGCAGAAGGAAACCAAAAATAAAGAAAAGGCTATCAGGGCTGGAGACAAGGAGGGAGACAGAGTCAGTATAGAAAGAGATATCCACAGCAATGGGTCAGGGGCAAAGTGGAGAAAGGGGAAAGGAAGTTAAGATCTGGAACTCCTGCTTTCTCCCACTGCAGGCTCCCCCATCTTCCAGTGCATTTCCTATAAACTCCCTCACTTTTAACACCCTAAAGAGTTAGCTGTTCCTACAGCAGCCTTCTTCTACCTCCTATTGGGTTGTATTTCCCTGACAAAATTCCCCACAACTTTGCTTCCTCCCGGTCCCAGTTTGCTTCTCAGTCTCTACGCTGAAGCAGCATTACAAGGGAGAAAATTTCCTCTTGTTCCTCAAAGTTTTCAGTGACTGAAAACATCATACATGGAAATATGGAGGGAGCAGAAAAAACAAATCACCAGCAAAACACCAACTTTGTTAGAACTGTCTTTTCTCAAAATGCAGCAGGACGTTTCCTGAAGAAAACTATGCCTCACACACTTCACTTTATTTACAAAATTATCAGTTCATTGGACTGCTGTCCAAACAGGGCTCTCAAAATGTGTTCTGGAAACACAGATACTCCATGGAAAACACAAGAGAAGTTAAATAGACAGCTAAGGGATAATCCTAATGCACTTTTATTACACCTTCTGATAAAAAAATTCAAATTATTAACACCTAAGTTTATTTGCAATTAACTAAAAAGGCATTCAACAGAGCATCAGCACAATATGTTCTCATTCCCTCCTCCCAAGTTTTATCCCTGCTTACATATAAAAAGTCCCCTGTACATCTACACCAGGCTCACAGCCTCCTCCCACAGCAGAATGCTGCCCTGGAACGCTGTGTACTCCCAGAGGCATTACAATAATCTCATTTAAGGCATGGCCCGCCATGGCCAGGCTCTGCACCAGAGAAGAATTTATGTAGAAAAGCAGAGGCAGCACCAGGCATTTTGTCACCCTGAAAAGGCAAGGCTGTCCTGTTCTGACAGCTGGTGCCTGCAGCTATCTCTTCCCTCCCCTTTTAAGTTGCTATGTCTGTAACAGCAGTGGCAAAAAATGTCCATCCTGACATTTCTAACCTGAATTAGAGGCAGAGGTACAACCATGCATCCTGCTTGTTGCCCTCCAAGTTGCCCATCTCCAACAGAGAGAGGGAACAACCTGCTGGATGGGACCACCTCGAGTAGGTAGGTTCAGTCTCAAAAGGTTTGCTTCAAAACATCTGTGCCATTTGCCTCCCCTCTTTGCTCAGGCAGCAGAAGATGAATATGCAGTTCTTACAGAGGCCCTAGCTCACTTCTGGTATACAATAAATCAAACTGAACAAGCAGCAAGACATCCAACTGTAAACTGAGCCAGCTGAGCAGAGGCACTTCTCTCACAAAAAAGGAGGCAGAGATACTCCTAACAAACCTCTGTACTGGAAGCAGCCCAACAGATAGAGAAAACCAAACTCTTACAACACAATATCAGAATTAAAACAATGCAGACAAGAAAATGTAAGAATTACAGCTCAACAATCATACTTCTCTATTCCCATCACAAAATAGATCCAGGATGGTTATAACAGAATGAGGGTCAAATTACAACAGAAATATAAGGACACATGCTTCACCCTCAAGACTATTTTCTCATTAATACATAATACTTCAACTCCATTAAGAACCTCGTTATGTGTTTTTATGGTACTAGATCATTTGATTAGTTATATTAGTCTAAAATAACTTCCTCTGAAATACTGTTCAATGTAACACTTTACCTCTTGATTAAACACTTGTTCAGTAAAGAATGCGATGCATGGCATCGCTGAGTATGCTTTACCAGAAGTCAGGTTAAAATAATGAAAGGATTTTTTTTATTATGTCAGTTTCAGAAAATTTAAAGGATCCCAAAGTCAAGAATTAAAGCTTTGCAGGAGATTGTTGGGTAGGTCTGCACTTCTCCACCAAATGCAAAATAAGGCATCTGTCTAGAAACCACATTCTTCTGGCTGTGCAACCCCAGAAGTCTGCTCCTTCCCGCTCCCTCCAGCCTGCTCACACTCCACAAGCAAGACACAGTTATTCCACAGGATATTTCCTCTTCTGTCATTCTCAATGTTATGCTTTGCCCTATGAGGAGACACCTTCGCATCAGATTCTGGATGAACTAATTGTTTCCTGCTAGAAGGAACACGCTCATTTTTTTGCCCCTAGACGAGGCTGGCAGTGACTGCAAAAGGTGGCTCTTTGAAGCCCATCCTCTGACCTCTTGCTGGAGCTTCCTTTGACCCCTTGCTGGAGAACAGCTCGTCAGTCACAGGCAGAAGTCAGGACAAAGGGCTGTTTGTACAGCATCTCCCATCAGCCCTCCCTCTCTCTTCTCATCCCCGCTAGCTCTGACTCTCTCTGGGTACATCTAAAAAGATACGGCTGCCAAGAAAGTGAAAGGGAGTGAAGCAGAAGAAAAAGGTACGTTTTGCTCCTGAAATTATCCTTGTGTACTTGTTCTGCTGCTGCTAGTTACAGAGTACAGAATTAGAAACATATATGGAAACATGCAGAAGATGATTTGGGAGAAGCTGCTATATCATAGGCAAGAGGTGTTATTTAAGATAGATACATGGCTATGATCCAGCTCAAAATAATTCTTTTACTATCTTGCTTTTTTTCAAAGTTGGATGCTACATATTAACGTCTGAGGTCATTAAACATACTATATTGCCTTCCAGTGCTCAATGTTGCAAAATTGGTGAATATGGAGAGGGGTGTGTTTACAATGAATTGCTATCTTAAAGAAAAATAAATGGGGTTTATTGATAACTCAGTTTCTGGAAAGAATCATGGTATTGATGATAATTACAAAGCAGTAATTCACGGAATTCATCCTCACTGTCCTTACAGTGCACCAACAATTCAAATAAAATAGATTTGAAGGATTTTTTTTTTTAATGGAAAAGATTCTTCACAATATTATCAGTTAGGCACCTCTCGTGTAATGATTTCTTAGGAATGCACTAACAAACCTAACTATCACGCACTGACACATCTACATATTAAATACTTAGCATTTTACAGGTGTTTCTGAAAGGGAAACTTGACAAAACAAGAAGATACATTTTCTTATCAATAAATATTTTTAGCTCTTGAACTCAAAACATTAAAAGGAAACAAATTTAATATATACTTGCTTCTTTAGTGCAACTTGTTAACCTGGCACATACCACTGGACAGACTGGAAAAGATCATACCCCAGAAGTGTAGCTATTACTGTATTTCTTGTTTTCAAGACACAGCCTGCTTAAGGATATAAGAAGGGTATATTTAATGAAGGGTATATTTAATGAAGGGTATACTTAATGGTTGACAGACCAACTTGTAAATATTTGTTTTTTTCCAAACATGGAAGATCTCTAGAGGTGCCAAAATACACATTTTGTGCAATTTCTCTTTTCCCTATTTCTATGTGACTTTTACAGGGCATCACTTCTCATGAACTATTACCCTGTTGTTCTTAGACATGCAGGTTGAAACTTGGGTTTTTTTCTCTTTGGTCTTTTCTGACTACCTCTCCATCTAGCAGATCCAAGGATTAGATGACACCAAATTGCCTGGCAGGATAATTCAAACACTCTCAGCTGAACAAGCAGGGACAGCACTGATTCCCAACTCACCATGCATATTCCCAAACTAACCCTTTTCCTTTACAAAAAGCTCCAAACTATTTCAGAGTACTTGTACTCCCAGCTGCATTTAGTCTCAAACTTTACTTACATGATGTCAAAATAACCAAAATAACTAACTGAAAAGACGTTATGCAAAAGCAAGTTCATTTTCAGTATTTTCAGATGGTTTACTCCTGCTAGAATTTGAAATTATACAATCTTGATAGAACAACCTGGTCAGGCTTAGCATGAATGGCACTGCTGTCTTGACAGAAGGTTTTATAAAATAAAGAATTATAAGAAAATGATTGCTAGCAATGAGTCTTTGAGTCACCTTAGTGGTTGGTTTTGTTCACATTTTCCTGACTTGTTTTATGAGACAAGACTTCTGTGGTATGCAAAAGCAGATAAGGTCTTGGACACCCATTTTGAAATAAATACACACATACTAGCTCTGTTCTTTACCTAGGCAATCAGTGACACTCCAACATCTGCGCAACCACATTCAGAAAGAGAAGTTGCAACAGTTTGTCAGACAGAGATGCTGCATCTGAAAGGTCTGCTGAGTTTACCAGCAGTGATCCTGTGCAGGGAGCTGATGAAACACTTCAGGTCCTTGGCAATCTTTCATCTGCAAATAGGGACCATTCTCAGGAAAGAGACAGCCTTTTGAGGATAGGTCTTTCGACTAAATATTTCCATGTGGTTATGATCTGCAAAAAACCCCACAGGAAATATTTAAGCAGAAACAAAATTATAATAAATATTTTTTTCTGAATAGTAACAGTGCATAGGTAACCTGTCAGAAAAGCTGTTCTATCCATTGCTCTCCTGCATGTTGACTTTGCTAATACTGATTTTGACACCCACTCTTGATGATGCACTACAGCAATATTCTGTTATATTTCAAGGCAAGTACTGAGTTACAGAATCACCTTAAACTGTAGGTCATGATTTTTAATCAAGCAATTTGACAGTAAAGAATCTGCCCATTCTCAGGACAGAGTGAATTCCTCCAAATTTTGAGGAGATAGGCAGCTGGCAACAGATTCAAATGAGCATTCCAGCTGAACTCCGGGTAGGGAAAGATCATCTGAATTATTAGAAACAATAATAATAAAAAAAAAGTACACAGGAGCAAGATACCACGATCCCCAAGGTTCCACTACTGATAGTTTATAGGAGCCTTCTACTCAAGAGTTCCCATACAAGTTCATGGAAACTAAAAGGAATTATTCCATGAATTTTGCTTCTACAACAGAAGTTAAAAAAAATAAACAAGAGCTTATTTTAACTTCAGCCATGTTCTTTAGTATATAGGCCACTTTTTAATATTTTATTTGGCTACTAGTGTTCAAAAAACCCAAGTCTAAATATAAATACCAATGTTTAAAAAACCCCCAAATTTAAATATTAAAACAAAACCAAAGAGCATTGAGGTGTCATCCCTAATATGAATCTTAATTCCCAGATTTTCTAATAGTCCCTGGCATGTTATTCATTAGCTGAAGAAATGGAAGATAAGCAAGACCGCTATGGTGCCAAGATAACTATCCAAGAAAAATTACTATAAAATACTGTAAATCTATAGATTTAAAAGTTTATTGTTTGTTTTTCAAGGGTGATCTCAAGATTTTCACAAAATAACTCATATAGGACTCTATTAATTGACTTCTAAAGCTGGCATACCTCATTTTTAAACTTAACCAGATAACAGCTCTGCCATCTTAACATGGCCTCTGATAGTCTTTGATCAGACATTGCCTTATGCCCTGTTACTTCTGGCTTAGCCTAGAGCATTCTAATCTGCAGCCCCACAAGAAACACTAGGGTTGGCCCATAATGCCAGCATGTCAGGGGATCAACTCTGAAGTGCCAACAGAATGAAGCAAAGGCTTCCTTGAGGCCAATGCAAGTACAGTAACAAGCACACAGGGAGTGCTCAGCAGAGCTGGTCATTGCTTTAGATTAGTTTTCAGAGCAGAATTCCCATTTAAATTCAGTAAGATATCAGATCCCTTTTGTTCAAGCATGAGGAAAGGTATAACACCCACTCTCTCTCCTAATACAATAAAGTCTAGGTTGAAACACGGTTCAAAATGTTAATTTAAAAGTGAATGCAAGTTCAAGGATCTTATCCAAAGCTTTGTGGCATGGCCAAACTCTGTGCAAAGCAGCTAAGAACAGCAGAACAAGCGTTAAACAAGACGATGGAAATCCTAATCACCAGCAGGAGAGTTTTGCAAGGGATAATTTATCCCATCTTTTAAAAAGCCAATTAAGCCATAATGGCCTCCAGTAGCAAGGCTCAACTAAGCAGTCTGCAATACTAAAAAAAACCAAACAATAAAAAAAAAGAAAATTCTCTATAATGCGGTATCATACCCGAATCTGCAGTCCAGGACAGTGACACTTGGCATCACTGCAGAGAGCTTCAGTTTTTCAAGCAGCCCATAACAGAGGATTCAATCAGCCAGCAGTTTTTCCACAACTTTAATGGGAAAGGATACTATTAATTTTACGTGAGTGACTCCTGTTTTGACAGGCAAAATGGCCAGGAAGGCAAGGACACACACCCAGACATTTTCCCCTGGTTTGGCAGCAATCAATACAATCACTTACACCACTGAGAAAATGCAGCCAGCTCAAAGCAATTTTCTCAAGGTGAGAGGCCAAAGAAACAACAAAATTGCCAGCATCAGAAGCCTCAATTCCTGATGAAAGGATTTCCAAGGTTGTACAGAAAGTAATGAATATCAATTCTGCTGCAATATTATTTACCTCCTAGGAGAAAACACTCTCCAGAACTCATGCTCAATCCTCCAAAACTTCACAGGGAAAAAAAGAAAAAACGTAAGTAAGGAAGCAAATTGAGGAAAGAGGTCTGTTCAGCTGCAATACCTGTGTCACGTACCTCATTTCTCTTTAGCACCCTGCTGTGGGAAGCTGCAAAAATGAAGATGTTCTCAGCGCTGCTTCTGCTGAGCACCCTCCTGGATACCCTCACGGTGCCTTCCCATCGCCCTTCTTGTTACAAGAGGGCCCTCAAAGACCACAACTGTCACAACATCCCTGAAGGCATGGAGAACCTTCGACAAATTGATGACACTCTGCAAGATCACTTTTGGGAAGGGAAGGGCTGTGAGGTGATCTGTTACTGCAACTTGAATGAATTGCTCTGCTGCCCAAAGTAAGACCATACTCATTTCATGTAAACTTGTATAGTTTTTTACAAGTGCTCATTATATTTCCATCATCTTACAGTTTCCACAGGTGGAATAAGCTACCACTTTAAAGAAATTAATCACTTCAGATGGCTTGAAATGATATTAAGATACAGCCAATTATCTGATACGCTGTCAGTATCTCAGGTTTTTGTTTTCAGGGGCTCCCATAGGACTTGCTTAGCATATTTTGTAAACCTCCCTGTCCTAGTATTGGAGACTTCAGCATTTAAATCACCCAACTTTCAACTCCTCTGTTTGATCCAAACTAAGTATAACTACATCAAACCCTTATCCACAGCATTTTGCAATGAAGATGTTTTCAGACCACAAACAAAACTATTTGACTTCTGTTCCATGGAAAAGAACAGTACTGATATTCTAAGGTGTATGTACATATGTCATTTGAATAAATGATTCTGTAAAGATAGCTGTTAACAGCAGGAAATCAGATGGGGGGAACAGAGGTTCGCAAATACCTGTAAGGCAGGGAAAAGATTTAGCCCCAGAACATCTACATTTCCTTGGTTTTCTGGCACTGCTGACAAAGTTTAACAGTGAAGTTCTCACCGAACATGGGCATTTTGTTGTTGTTAAACAGAAAAAACATAATTGACTTAAAAAACCCACCACCAGCCCATACCTCTTTTAAGTAATAAAATGTATTAAGAGGTATTATTTCATTCAGCTTTTCAGCAACATCTTTTCTTCAGTATATCTGGGTTAGAAATAACAACAGTTCAAAACTTATTAATACTTCATGGGCACTAAAATGTGATGGTATTATATAGGCAAGCAAAAACTATTTTTTATATTTGCTCCTCTTAACACTCCCTAAAAATCTAATAATGGGCAAGTTTTCAACACTCTTGTAGTGTTGAACCAAGTGCGAAAGACTTCTAAAGCTAAAAATCTCACATTCAGACTGAGAGCAGGGTTTCAATAAATTTTTCCATCTTTCACTTTCCCTAAAACCAGATAGGGTGTCCTCACTGTGAAACACACTGGGAGTTTTTAGCTTCAACCTCTGAGCTTTGAGCAGACTAAAAAAATACCTAAAAAAGTATTCCTTCCAGCATCCTGAGCTACACAAGACCTTCCTTGCATGTCGGTTCTAGGGACAAACTGCACTAAACCAGTACGCATGCACATGCCGAAGTCCTTTATTCTGATAATACAATCTATTTGGTAAGTTTATTTTCTCAAAGCTAAAATACCAGGGTGGAGTTCTGGCAATCTGGTCAGTCAATGAAAGTTTTGCCACTGCTTCTAAACCAGGTCAGCAGAGGTAGAAAGGCAGTATCTTCATTCAGATCTGCCATTGCATTTGCATTGCTGGAAGGACATTCCCGCACACACAGTAATCCCACACGTACCACAACATATACTAAAAAACATCCACAATGGGAAATGTATGTCATGTTAAAGCTCTGATAAATCAATGGGCTAATTATTTAAATATCTGATCATGTCTTTCAGGGATATTTTCTTTGGACCAAAGATATCTTTTGTGATCCCCTGCAACAGTCAGTGATTCAAATCTGCACGTGAAGATAACAGACATCATTCTACAATCGTGTAATAATGCTTTCAAGGGCAAAAACAAAACCACCACAATCTAACCACAAAATGGTGCTTCATTTTACACTGTAGAAAAATTTCCTTTCTACACCTTCATGGAATATCAAGCACGTAAGAAGTTCTTTCCAATTTGGTGACTGACCTAATTTCAAACGATTTAAGAGATTGTACAAGCTCTTAATGCATATTAATATGCATACCCCAGCAAAAAGTGTAACTCTTCTTTCTCAGCACAATATTCTCAACTAGTCTGGATAAAGAAAATTCAAGCCTAAGCCTTCACGTCATTAGGAACATGACTCTCACAGCAACCTATGGCAGTGCAGCTTCCTACTGCATTATTGCCATCACACATTCAATGCTTTTTTAAGCTAAAGCTACTCAGTCCCTGGTACTTTTGCAGACAGGCTCCAACATTCTATTTACGCATCTTAAAATACACGTGCATACAAAAGCCATGTATTTTCATATCTGAAAATATTCCACTGGAATAAAAAAAGTCAAAACTGACATTAATAGTATTAAAGCACACTTGGGTCTTAATTACGTGTAACTGGTCACCTGCCTTAACTGTGCGATCTGTAAAACCTTAAATTACTTAACATTGAACATTTACAATGCTAGAACAGTACATTTTTTTAAAACAAACCTTATTTGAAATACAATACCCAGAATTAAGTTAAAATGCTGGCTTTTTATTTTTAGGCTAGCCCTGTAAGGAAATAGCTAGAGGAGAAGACATAGAGGTAATCATCTTAACATTTAAGAGGTATCTAGGCAATAGATAGAAATAGACAATTTTTTTGGCTGTTTTTTCACTTATACTGCAATCTGTATTGGCAGGTGTTGAGTATGTATAAGTGGGACTGTATAAGTTTAAGGATATCCACCTGAACAAGCCACGCTTACAGGCAGTAAACCCGGCTTGTTGCCTTACACAGAAAGACTCTTTAGGTATCAAGTCAGTGATGTGGAAGGTCTGCAGTACTGAAGTAACTATTCAGTCATCTCCACTCAAAAAGTGCACTATTCACTTAATAATCTTACACATTAGCTCAAACTGCTACCACCAGTTTACCAAGCTACTTTACATACCAGTATGAAATATCAGGATGACGGTTTTTCTTCCTATTAGCAAACAAGGGCTGGATACTGAGGGGGGTGATTATACACTGCCAATAATAAACGTTTCAAGTAAATCTGTGTGTACTATTTTTGCACTACTGACTGCTAAACTGTTTGTGTCACTGGGCTTTTTAAGCTTTGTTTGTGTAATTATTCCTGAGTCATCCGGGCTTCCAACCAAACTAAGAGTAAAATAAATCCCATAAATCTGGCAACACAGTGAAAATATCCGATATCAGAGATCTGCTAACAAAGCATATGGTAACTGCTCTTGTTCAAAGTCCTCTATAAGCTTCTAGGGTATGTAACTTCTGTTGTTTGCGCCATCTAGTTTCTACAAGAATCATGTTGCATATGCCTGGCATTCACAGCTTTCCAAAGCAGTGGTAGCAAAAAAAAATTAAGGCAAATGCAAATTTAGCTACTAAAGTTGGTGGCTTTTAGTTACCTTCTTTCCACCACTCCTGAAAAATCCATAATCCACTGGAAGAAAGTTCTGCCACTTTACACATGCAGCAGGACGGGGTCACTTAAGTTACTACTTTAACACTGATTTCCCATAGAAACTTGTTTTTGTTCCTCTCCCCACTCTCCTTCCCTCACACAGCTTCTTCTAGGTCCTGCCAGGTCTCACCTAGGTCCTGCCAGGCCTAGGTGAGAACATTCAATCCCATCATGCACTCAGAGAAAGTCTTCACATTTGGATGTCCTATCCATGACTAGGTTCCATGGCTGTTTGTGCAACTTGCACTTTGAAAATAAGAAGCTGGATTTGTGCAAAGGATGTTTGGCAATCAAATTTACAGTCCCTGTAGTGAAACAGCCATGAAAACATTATCTTCAAAAGAGCACCAATTTTAGCTGTCACTAGCTAGATATCACTAACCATTGTGAACTTAGGCCAGCATTGTAGAACTGTATTATGGAAATACATAAAACAGTGCAATGAAAAGTCACACCACTGAGAGATACTGGGAAGACAGCCAGTTTGAGATTAGGGTTTATCATCATTCAGTTCTATGCAAGCGTCACAGGTCAAAAAAAGCAAAGTAAAGCATCTTAGTTGCAGGGATGCCAGAAAAGTAGTAATTTTCAAAAAAAAAAACCAACTCACAAAATAAGTATCGAGCAGATTAGACCATGGACATACTGCTTTTTCATTTTTTCCAAATTAAGAAAAAACTTATAAACATCTGATAAGGTTAGGAGTTGCAATTTAATGCTTACTGAACAAGCTGAAGCTGTGTCCTCCTCTGCTTTAAGATGAAAACTATTTTCCCTCAGCTTTTTCTTCAACCTATGTGCACAGCTTAAAGCAGAAAGAAATCATATTCCATACACCACACATTTGGACTGGCACAACAGTTAAAAGGATAACACAAGAAGTCATTTGTAATACCATCTTCAACATTAGACTTTACTAAGACACTCAATTAAAAGCATAAGTATTGCTGGATATTTTTCTCATATGTTACCATAAGTTTTGGTTTTATTGTGAGGGTTTGTCATTCTTTTTAAACAGGCCTGAGCTGATGCATGCAATGAAAAAGAAACAGTATGCCTATTAGAAGATACTGTATTGACCCTGCACAAACTCTGACTCTCATTCTCCAATTAAGTTCTTAGCAGCAGTCCATGCAGATGAATGGAAAAGTCAGCAGCTAAAGGATTTCTTACTGAGTTGAAGGATTTCTCAGCACAGTAAGCTGCAGCAGTCTCTTCATCCTTACTTAAGCTTTGAAATTTGAGAGCAGCATTTTTTTCCACTTTAATATAGGAGTAGGAAGGCCTCAGAGCTGGGAAGCACGTATCTCAGCATGGACAAAGTGAATAAACAAATCAGAAAAACTTCCATCAGTTCTTGTTTCCAAAGGGGAAAGTGTTATTCAGCCGTTTCTGCCCAGCTAACTACTGGAACTGTCACTTAAAGCCTTTTACCTTATGAAAAAGAACCTATTGCCAGGTCTGCTACAGCTTTTTTTTTAAATTAAAGGCATTGCATCATGAGAACTTTCAGTACATTCATAAATATATCCTTGGCACACTTTAACTGAAAAATATTTTAATATTATTACATAATTCAAAGCTTAACTATTAGATACAAGTATCATAGCATATGCTGAGTAGAAGGGACCCATCAGGATCATCAAGTCCAACTCACTAAAGTTACAGACACACCCACTTGAGCAACAATACCTGTGATATTTATTTAAAATACTTTTGCTGAGGAAATTTGTTTCATAAGAGATGGTTTTCAAACAAATCAGCAAGGTTATGAAAAATAAAACAGAGACAATTGTTCTCAGGAGAAAAAATTACAAAGAAAGCTTCTGCATATCAACAAAACCTCAGTCTTTTGATTTGCGGCCTGAGTCTCAGTCCCAACCTTTTCCGCCTAATGAACCCCACTATCCATCTTTAGATCTGGTTTGTTCTTGTCATTCTTCACTGAGTAGATGAAGTATGTTAAGGTGTCCTTTTCATTCACTGGAATTGTCCTAAAATGGCCGCCAATTATCTATAAAGGAAGAATGCAAGGAAATTAAATAACCACTTATATACAGGTTATATACAGAAACTGATGATTCAGATTTAAATCTATTACGTAAAAGTTTGAAAGACTGATCAAGAAGCTTGCAAAAAAGGGAAAAGCTGCCTTTCCTCAGAAGTCTCTAATATTCATTAAAAAAGGTAAACAGGAACCATTTTATTGAGAACTAGATATTGAGAACTAGCAGCCTATACCCTAATTTCCACAGTAAAAAGTCCTGAAACTTTCCAGGAAAAAAAACCAAACACATCAAAACAAGAATGGGACTATCATTAAATCGGTTTAGTTAAACCTTGAATATAAAGCGGGTAATGACCATAGAATATCGGCAGTGACAGCACAGAAATGAGACACTACTGCTCACTCAGGTTAGGGGGTGGTCTGTGTCTGCATCAAATCACATAGAGACACATCTAACACAAGAATATTCGAGAATTATAATTGAACATTCAGCTCTTCAAAACAGAGCTATCAGTGAAAATTCACCATGCTGTAACCACTAAAATATAACAATCTGTAAACAGTCCTTGAATCAATTCTGTCATTTCAGAAGTCTTTTCCTTCATCAAAATGAACATCAGCTTTAAAAGAAAATACACAAAATATTACACCAGTTTGAGTCCATTCTCTGGCTTTTTGCCAGGCTGGTAGACTAAAATTAACAAGTGAGAAACGTTGGACTACTCATTTAACTACCATAGGATATAAGAAGAAGTGTTTAGCCTAACTAAAAAGTTAGGACGCCTTCTCAACTCTACCCCCAAAACATCCAGAGAGAAGCAGTTTGACAGAGTCCTCTGAAGTGGACTTTTAAGTAACAACTAAACTTGTATGTTAGGACAGTTTACAAGGAATCACACATACTGTATACTAAGGAAGTTCTGTGGCTATGGTTCACAAACAGCTGCAGGTCAGTCAAATCAAGCATGTGACAGAAGGAGCTTTGCCCATGCACACCATGTAGCATAAGAATAAACTAGTGCAATCATGAGATTGCATCATGAGATGTACCTAAAGCAGACTCTTAGAAACAAGAGTTTTGCAGAACAAAAACTGCTTGTGCTTTTTCAGTTCACAGTCTTGCTAATTCAAGAGCTAGCTGCACCTTAACCTACTTTTAGGAAAACTGAAGACTGATGCTGCGTTCTTACACGCAGTGGCAGTAGTACTATTATTTTACAGCTCAGCCTTGAGATTGCCCCTACAGCTAAAAACCTTGCTTTTAACCCAAACAGATTAAGGGAGAGATAAACAGTGTGCCTGCACTTAAACACAACTGAGTGTATCACTGCACAGAAGTGAAAAAAGAGTAGCTATGTTTCCCGGTTAAGAGAAGATCACCAGCTCTTCCACTTACTTACACGAACATGCTGGGACTGCATCTCTGCAGCACAAAAGAATTCCTTTAAAATTGCACTCACATGAAGCAAAGATGCTTATGTACAGCTTTACTCACACACAGCTTCAGCATTTTTAGAAATACTGGTAAGAAAACCCCTAATTGCATAAAAATCCATTTTTCTGAGAGCAGACCCCAGTGGTTTTAACAGAATTATCAAGTGAAGCATGTTTTTTCAGGTTTCCGTACTTTACATGTACAGAAACACCGATGGTTGCAGTAACTAGCTTTTTAAAGCAAAGTCTGAACCTTACAAGAACTTCACTGCCACCTCTCAGTTTCTAGTTCTTTTCAGCAGGGCACTTCAGGTAAAGCTGTGATTGATGTACAGACACAATAAATCAACAATTCTATGATATTGAGGGATGCCCATCATCTTCCTGTTCCAACTCACATTGTGGTTTTAAGTCGCAAACATTCCTTTTGAAAGTTAGAGTTCCTCCTCTGGAAAGAGCTTCTATTTTTTATTTACTTGTCTCAGGAGCTACAGCCAATGAAGGAAGCTAGATAAGGAGCTCCCTTTTGTTCTCCTAAAATCCAGATTATACAGGCACTTTATGCAAGGATGAAATCGCATAGAAAACCACATGCCATAGCAAGTTGCATTTTCTATTATAGAAAAACACTCATACATACTTCCACAAGCTGTGCTTTGTTAAGTCCCGGTCTGGTCTGTAGCTTGAAGTGTCTTTTGTACCTTCGAAGTGTGTTTACTTGTAACTGATATAAATCAACCTAGAAGAAAAGACAGGGAAGGGGAGGAAAACAATCTAATGTAACTGAAAAAGATTCAGTCAGTAACAGTTCGCCTCTCAAAAACATTTTGGAATCTCACAGATACGCAAGGGTAAACAGTGAGCTCAGCAGATGTCATTTCGACAAAAAACAAACTCCACCCTGCACCTTCCAGCAGAAAGAAAAATAGCCCAGTTCAGTTCAAGAGTATTTTGTTGTTACTGAGCATGGTTCTGCCTCTCTTTAGCTGTGGACAGTATTTAGAACTCATTAATGTACTTTAATCAGTTATGGTGTTTTGTTTGTTCCCCAGTTCAAGCACAATAACACGAAGTCCAGTAACAACTTTCATGTAACATCTATGAAGATGCTGACTCAAAGGAAGCCCC